ATCTAAACCTCTAGCAGCTACATCTGTACATAATAATGTCTGTTGTTCTGCTTTAATAAAACTATTAAATATATTACTTCTTTGATTCTGTTTCATTTTACCCTTAAAAACAAAGTATATTCATTAAAGGGATTGTAAAGAGTTTCCACCATTCCAATTTTCAGTCAGACATCTGTGGTTCCTGTAATTTCACTAAAACTATTAAAATATTTGAATCTCAATATATGCTTTATCACATAAGGCCTTTTGCAGCATGAAAAACTTAATCACGATACACACTTGCTCCTTTTAAATGACTGCTTTCTACAAAACAACTGAAATCCTCATACTGGAATGTTAACCCTATTTCTAAACCAACATTTTAAAATTGTCTGGTATAGGTTAGTAATTTACATTTTTCAAAGCATTCTATGTAAATTTGAACAAAGGGGTTTATTATGGTTGTAGAATACATCAGCATATAATTTGACATAAAAGAAGTAACACATATATTTCTGCGGTGTCAGAATTCGCAGGGAATGCTAAAATCGTAAAATAACCAGAATGTGACTAAGATAGATATACTTACAAATATAGCAGATACAGGTAAACCAATCTGATTCAATAACAAATTATAAAACTTCACTGATTTAAAAGTTTTAAAAAATACCATTATCTTTTTCTTTCTGTTCTTTTTAAGAAAATTAAATAAAACAACAAGTCTCTTTTCTATTGGACATATTAAATACCCCTGAAATAAATGTACAATTTTTTTCCATTATATCATAACATGGAAATATCAGCAATATATCTGTAAAATTGTTATTAACAACTCAGTGTATTGAATTGTCAAATGACATGAAATGAACAGTGTTTTATATCCTACTTCTCTGCACCTGATTTGGCTAGTGAATACTGGCAATGCTTTACAGTGTGCAATGAGTAAAATTTTGCCAGGACAGCAACATCAGTCTACTCTCTTCCAACTTTCACCTACAAAGGCACAGACTGTTGCACACAGTTCCATGGTTTACCGGCCAATCCAAATGCTTTTTGCATTTCAGCCCTGCATCACTGACCAGGGGAAACATGTTTAAAACTTTTATTCTAACCAATGATGGGGTTAAAACCTTCAGGCTTTCATCTTAAATCAAATATTTCTTTTGAAAAGTCATACAATTAGCTGAAAATTAAGCTTAACAATATCAGTTTCAAACCACATGTATTAATGTCTATTAGACGTGTGAATAGTGAAGAGTACTCTCACTGTGTAAATTAACATGTACTAACCTGCTGTAAGCCCTGTACTGTTGCTGATTTCTGATCATCATCAACACCAATATAAACTGGTTTAGAGTGAAATGATAACTTGACTAAATCTTCTGTTTTTGTGGTAGGTGTAGCAGTAAATAATGCTGTCTGTCTATTTTCTATACATCAAAAATAACAAATGATTTACTTGTAAAATAGAGAAACTGAGTATGGCTTTCAATATGAAATAAGGCAAATATTGTATGAACGGTTGCAATAGCCCACAAATCTGTATAACCACAAACAATCTTAACAGTAATTAGGTTTTCATTAATGGTTTTCCAGTAAACAATCATACTCAAGCAATCAGATTTCAACGAACTTTACGATCTAACAAAAAATGTCCACAATGCTGCTCAACCTCAACCAGCTGTATCGCCAAAGTGTTCAGAATACTTGTGTTCAGATTACATATTATTACTTGTGTTAAGATTACTGAAGTTCAGATTATGTGTGTTCAGACTGCTGATGTTCAGATTATTGGTATATAATTGTGTTCAGATCACTAGTAGTACGACTGGTACAATAAATATAGAATGTGATAACATACTAGGTAATATAGATATAATAGTCTTCATCTGTAATTCAAATCCCATATCTAGTAACCTATCTGCTTCATCTATTATTAACATCTTTAAATTAGAATAGTGGAAACCTTCTAAAAACTGAATAAATAAAGTAAAACATTATAACATACATACTCACTTCCTTTCTAGTATAAAGTAAAACATTATAACATACATACTCACTTCCTTTCAAGTTGAAAAATTTGAAGGTACTATTTTAGTCAAGGCCTATTGCTTCTAACTTGCCAGGTCAGTCTAGCTTCTAGCAAGAATCCTTTCTACCAGGAACGATGAGGCAAGATGTCTTATTCAAGGTCACCAGATTGTAACACTGACTGAGATTAGAACATAAGACCACCATTTGTTCGAAAAAACAAGCAAACAACACTCTAACCAACTGTGCTAAAGAATCCCTCAAAATTGGGGAAAATGACCATGACATGACATAGAGAAAAAAAAGGTCATTGTTGACAGTATAAAGGCTATCAATTCAAATCAAACTGAAAACCTCAGACAACTTGAGCTTTGAATACTCAGTACATCAAGGTACAACATAAGATATCAAAACATATAAACATTACCTGTAATTGGTCTACTAAACGACCTGGTGTAGCTACTATTATATTTAAACCTGTTAATATATTAGCTGAATCCTTTTCTTTTTTAATTCCACCAATAACTAAACCATGAGTTAATTTATCATGATATTTTATTAATTGTTTTAAAACATTGTCAGTTTGTAAAGCTAGTTCTCTTGTAGGAGATAATATAATACATCCAGTACCACTATCTTTAGTAAATCCTAGTTTATATAATAATTCTACAGCAGGGATTAAAAACGCTAATGTTTTTCCACTTCCTGTTTTGGCTGCACCATTCACATCTCTGAAATTAAAGTACCCTACTATTCAAATAATATATCAAACAACAGTAAGTCCCAGTTACATTTTTAATCTGATTGAAAAATAAATCTGATTGTGTCCTTTTGTTGGTTTTTTCTCAGGCTAAAATCAAATATAATACACTTTCGAAAGTGGTTTGACAGTATGAGTCAATTTTTTTGGATTTGTTGTTAGAAAATCTTATATCGAACACAGGTAATGAATGGTTGGTTGAATATCAAATGACCTAGAACAAAAGACGCATAACAATATTGTTAGATTGTGGGCGGCAAGTAGAATACATTAATTTCATTTCAACTGGCAATATCTTACTACTGCACAGCTCTAAGTATTAGGATTTAGCTTGATAACTGAAGAGATTGAAAAAAATTTTCAACATTTGTAGACTGGACAATTTATTAATGTCATGGTAGAAAAATGATGTTTTATTTTCGATAAGGAAAAACTAAACATTCTACCTTCCACTTAACAGATGTGGTATAGCTTTAGCTTGAATTTCTGTTAGTGATTTAAAACCCATGTCTTTTATAGCTGAATATGTTTGATGTGATATTTTATCTTCTAACATTTCAAATGTAACTTTATCTACAGATATACCAGTACTACTACTGTCATCACTTGTTGAGGCATTATACATATATTCTGTATTTGTTTCTGTAAGATAAATATTTTACATTGTTCATATAATCAAAATAATTAAATGATATAAATCACAATGTTGGATTGTATTGTATGGTAATAACTTAAGTAACATCAACGTTATACATTATAACATCAAAGCTATTATTGGCTATAATTCATTTATATAGTAAGCATAGGCCCTACTTACTATTTTGAAATTGAAATTCATCTCCTCTAATTTTATGTTTCTTATAAGCTTGATACTCTGTAATATATAAAGATGATCCAATATAAATAACAAAAAATGTTCACTGACACTGTTCATATCACGCTCAATAGGGCCTACAAACAAAGCCTGAAACACGTTGTTACTTGGAGTTTGCAGCGTGAAACCTTGAGTAACAACATGTGTCAGATTCTGTTTAAATATTTCAAATATTTATTTTATTTCAATAAACGGTAAATTCGATTGACCACAAGAGTAAGAAAGTTTGGGGTTTGTAAAAGGAAGACACCAATATTCATATCAAACTGTTGTAACTATTATAAGCTGCATTATTTTCAGTCAGCTTGGAACTCAGTTAATCAATTTTCTTTACCTCCGGGTTCATCCCTATCCCTCTTATATCGTTGTTTTTGCATTGCGAAAAATTATTATATTCAGTTAAAAGCATGGATTAACGGGACTGTACTCTAATATAAGAAATTTGTTGTAGTCTGTAGGATAAAAGCTTTAGAGGGGAGATAACTATGTCACCAATAGACTACATCTGTTTCCTTCATATGGCTGCCCTGCGGTATTCAACTGTTATGTGACCCCTGTCCTATTGAATAGCTTTTCTGAAAACGATTGGGTGTTGGAAGATACCAATGAATTGCACATTTGCTTTTTTAATCCTGCTGATAACTTCAATACAGAGATAGACAACTCCTCAGAAAGTTGTTAATTCATTCTAATGTTTGCATTGTGGTCAACCATAAAAATTCAAAGGAATAACATTTCACTTTTTATCATCTTTTAATATTTTACATGATTGCATCTATACATTAATCAACAAAAAGATTTCAACTTTTTATGTTCACATTTCAACAATTTCTGAATACACTGGTGCCAGTTTACATGTAAACATTCAACTTTCATGTTTAACCAGCTGTTTTCTTCTTCTTCTTGGGTTTGGCAGCAGGTACATAGTCCAGTTTCTGTTTTTTATGAGGTTTACTTTTCTTTACACCTGGGCCTTTACAACTCACTTCTAGTAAAAGTTCAGGATTTAATTTTTCATTTTTGCAATACGTTGAAAAACAACAAAATATTATCAATGAGTAGCTCCCATTTGGTCAAATTTAAATTTGGTGTTATTGAAATAGTTTAGAATTTTCAAAAAGACATGACTGCTGAAATGATAGCTCATGGTTTTAAAAGAGCAGGTATCATTAACTTCAACTGCACGGCTACAACTAAGGCTGCAGTATGAACAGCAACTCATATTTGATCCAAGTTTCAAATGGACTAAGTGGTTTAGCTTTAATGTGTATACCTCTGAATCGATGACCTGGCCATGTATTCTCGAAACGATCTTAGTGCTAGGATGTCCTAGAATCAATGTTAGAAAATAAGAACCTAGGACATCCTATAGCTAAGATCGTTTCGAGAATACATGGCCTGATGAATAAGGTGAGTGTATTTATATAAAAGGATACTAAGATCTACAAAAGGAGGAACAGAAAAACCATAGGACAATGCTACTTTCTGTAGATCTAAAGACTGAACATCAAATATATCTCGATGTGCATGAGCAGCATAAGAACCAACAAATCCTTTATAACCTTCTTTAGCCGATTTATTCAAAAAATAATTCTGACTAATCAGTTTCTCCAACTGAAACAACAACAAAAAATGATTAAAAAATTTTAGAAAAAAAGTATCTCCATTCGTCCATAAGGTGCAGAATAGTAGGATATTAAACTCCCTCCCTTCCATAGCAAAAGAAGTTTGAATTTATATTTAGGGCCTGAATTTTACACATTTTGTAAATCATGTACTTACTTGAGGTTGAATATTGGCTATTTTACTCCAAGAAAATTCAAATTCATTCAGTTGAACTTTTGATTGTTTGAGATAGCGTAAGAATCCAAGTTCTTCTGGTCTGAGTATCAATAGAGCATGTCCAATACCTCCATCACCTCTAGCTGTTCTACCCACACGATGAATATATTCCTACAAAATAACAGAGATTTCAAACTAATCTCATAAATAATGAAACAGGAGAATGTGCTGCAATATCACCTGTGCTAAGCACTTTTCACAAATTCAAATGATCATTCGATTCCTAACCTGGCAAATGCATTGTTTCAAAGATATTCTGCATGTTAGCAGGCAGATCAGGTTTTTACCATTATCCAGTCTTCTTCTAATGAAAAGCATAGTTACCTTAGGATCATCAGGAGGGTCAAACTGAATGATCCAATCTACTTCAGGAATATCAAGTCCTCTAGCAGCCACATCAGTACATAACAAGATACATTCTTTTGTGTTACAAAATTTGAAAAATGTGTTTGTTCTCTTATCTTGAGCTTGTTTACCCTAAAATCATTAAAAAAATAATGACTTAAAAACAACTTCATAAAGAAGTGTATCTTTGTTGTTAAACAAGTGCAGATAATTAAAAAATCACAATGACAGTTAGTGTATAAATTGGCGTTTGGTAATAACTATAACTAATATGCAATGGACTTCCGTAATATATCGTCACCATAACAACCTCCTTCATAGGTATACATTTTCTGAAAAATACTTACGTGTATACTTAAAACAGGTAAATCAATATAATTCAATAGTTCATAATGGAATTTGACGGACATACAAGAACTAAAGAAAACCATAATCTTCTTCTTTCTATTCTTTTTCAAAAATGTGAATAACAACAAAAATCTTTTATCTGATGGACAAATAACATAGCCCTGAAATCAAAGATAAAACAATATATAATATAAATATGAACAATTAATATCAGTTCTGTAGGGAATGTAGGGCCTGCCAGCAAATAAAAACATGACAGATAAAAGGGAAAATAGAACTGGTACACAATAGACCAGAGAAAATAAATCCTGTTTCCTAAACAATGAACTGACTCAAAATAGGACCAGAAAAATGCTTACTTTCAGACCCAGTCTAACAATGGAAATAACGAAATTGTGGAACTTTCCAAGCTGGTTGAGAGGCTCACAGTAGAAACTAAGTTAAAGCTGATATTATATCTTACCTGCTGTAAACCATCAACAGTAGCTATTTCTCTAGTATCATCAACACCTACATATAGTGGTTCTTTCTTTAATGATATTCTTGCTAAATCTTCAGTTCTACGAGTAGGTGTTGCAGAAAACAACATTGTTTGTCGACGTTCTATAAAAAATAATATAAATATTAGACTAATACTAGGGAAAAAATGAATTGCTTTCAAATTGATCCATATTTCATTTATGCAGACATAAAGCTAACTACAAATATCAATGCAGAAAATGTGAACCATAATTTTGTTTCGTAACTTACTGGGTAGTAATTTTATAATTGATCTCATTTCTTCTTCAAATCCCATATCTAATATCCTATCAGCTTCGTCTATTATCAAACATTGTAAATTCTTATACATAAAATCTCCAGTATTCTACAAAATTAAAACAAATAGTTCTCATTAAGTGAATTATTAACTTTGACCAAGTGAAGATTACCCCATTCATTGAAATGTCAACTCTATAAGAAAATTATAAGAGATCTGTGCTATGATAATTATAAGCACTTTCATCAACTGACACTAGATAAATTATCTGAGCGCTGGGTGAAGCAGCATTATCAAGTGATAATTTTTATATCATACACTTATAAATTATATTACTTTTCAGGGTTCAGGGTATATATGACATTTATTTCATCTTCAAACACTGTTCAAATATAGAGAATATATGGTAAGAGGTATCTTACTTACAAACCCATGTTTTAACCTACTATACCAGTTCTTAGAATCTGATATAATACCAGACTAGATATTTTATGTTGTCTATATCCTGTCTATATCCCACAAGGATGTAAACAAACCCAGATATCTAGAGCAACATCTTTGTTAGATTGTAAAATAGATGTAAATTACCTGTAAATGATCTAGTAAACGACCTGGAGTAGCAACTAATATATTGATACCCTTTCCTAACTTTTTAGCTTCTTCCTTTCTATTAGCACCACCTATTACTAATCCATATGTTTGATAGTGATACTTTAAGAGTTCTTTTAAAACACCAAAAGTTTGCATACTCAATTCTCTTGTTGGAGATATAATAATACATCCAGTGCCGTTACGTGGCATGAATTTTAACTTGTGTAAAAGTTCCACAGCTGGTATTAAGAAAGCTAATGTTTTCCCACTACCTGTCCTTGCTGCACCCATCAAATCTCTGAAATTAAAAAAATAGAAATATGAAATAATTTTGAGGAAGGCTGTAGCTCAATTAGTGAAAGGTTTATCATCACCATAAGCTAGTGTTTAAAAATGATTGGAGATATTGAAACCTTTTCTCCTTCTTCATGCAGATTATTCTGGGGGAGAAATGCGAAGAGGTTTCAATAACCTTTATACATCAGAACTGACTTGACATAAGTCACAACTTTTCATTATATACCCATTGACAGAAAGGGATTCCTATATAACAACAAACAAAAATAACGTAAATATAATATAGCAAATTACAATTTACCTGCCCTCTAATAATTGTGGTATAGATTTTGCCTGTATATCTGTCATGTGTGTAAAACCCATTTCACTGACCCCCTTCAAGGTCTCTTCTGACACCATCTCTGATAAAGCAGCAAAAGATTTATCTGTTACTATTTTAGCACCTAAACTTGAACCTGGCACTGAAAAAATGAGAAAAAGATTAGTTTAAATTTCTGGTTAACTTTTATCAAAATAACTTTGATTTTTGGTATGAAAATATAACTAACATTCATTTTCTTCATTACTCTTTATTTCATCTTCCTCTTTTTCATCATCACTTTTTCTTTTTTTATCTTCAGGTTCTACAATAACAAAATATCTTTATTACAAAACCTTCATTACAATAACATAGTGAATTTACACCACTAGTGCTTATTTTCAATTTCGCTAGTAGTATTAGAAGAGTCTATTTTAATGTCTTTCTTTTACTTGGCTCTTACACTAAAATTTTCCCTTTTGGTTGGATAATTTGTAAATGCTTAATATAATTTCGAATAATAGTGTCATCCAGATGTCTCTGTTCATATGTGCAGCCAAACATATCAGGCATACCAAATAATACTGTAGTCAAAAATACAACAAAAATTTAGACAAATTTTAACCTTACCACTTTCTTCGCCTTCTTCTACTTTCTCTGCTAATGAAACCTTTCTCTTTTTAGCTTTTTTTTTTGTTGAATCTTTTGTCTTCTTTGCTTTTGGTACAGAGTCATCTACAACATAAAAAGCAAGCCGTGTTATAAAAATTAAAATCTTTCTTATGAATGCAAACCAGGGCTGTTGATTTTCACCATTATGACCGACAATGCTTGGCTAACCTATAGGGTTGTGGAATTCAAAACGTATAGGCAAATCAACAAAACAACCATGGTTGACTTGTAATATTTCATATAGTTCATATTCAACACCTGTACACTCTTGCAATTAAAATGGATATCGTTGATAAGATATAATGGAAAAATTTATATTAATCTTCATTATTTTTTACCTTTTATTTCAGTTTCGTCTGTATCAACCATTTTCTTCTCTGTTTTCTTTTTCATTTTTATTCAGTTCCTATAAAATCATAGTTTTGTTTTAATCAAAATATTAATCAACTAACTATGTAGTCCTCTGATCCTGTAAATCATTTGTATTTGTCTTACCATATGTGAAACATTCCTCAATCCTACAACCCTATGAATATACATTATTTCAACAGGATTAATATTAATAATCCCATCTTTGAGAATATTTGATATTCTCTTCACAGTTGGAAAACCATGATTTTAATGACAATATGGGTTGTGGAACTGATTTGTACACATTGTATAATACCCAGAACAAATGTGTTGTCCTACTAAGAAAGATCAATATAAAAAATCTCCAAAACATTACTGTAATGTGTAAAACTTTTACATAAATATAAAAATTCATAAACAACAATTTGTTTACCTTCAGAGATCAGAACACGTGCTTCCGGTCTAAGGCAGGAAGTCCAGTTTTGTTCGATTGAAGTACACAAGTTGAAAAAAAAAATCCAACTGGTGTGAATACATGAATAAATAATTAAATCTTCTTTCAGTATTTCATTTATAGAATCTTGATGTATTAAAATAACTTATTTAACACATGAAATGATTATTTCGGAAAAAATCGTAACCTCAAGGGAAAAAAAACGAACGCCGGCTTTATTTTGATTAATACTTCCGGTCACATTCAGATTCCGCGTCCTTCGATACACGGGCCTTATTTATTTTCAGCATTAGATATTGAAGAAATAGTAATTTTTACGTCTCACCAATCTGCTAAATGCCCAATAATTGATTTTATAACTTTTGATTCAAGAATCTACTTGCTTACTTCTAGTTCTAGTTCAGCAGTGCCAGGCCCAGTCACTCACAATGTTGACTGGCAGTAATCATTGAATCACTGACTCAAAATAAAGACAAAGGAAAGAGCTGGAGAAAGTGAAGAGAAAAAAAATAATCGCGAAGTTTAGATAGCATCACACAAATATTTAAAATATGGAAAATGAACTAGATGGTAGGTATTTGGATGATTTAGCCTGACCCATTCCTCTGATGTGATATAGCGTGGGTGACCACTTACCGCCATGGTACTGTTCGAAAGCTCGTAAAAGAGCGGATCTTGTAATCAAAATTTCATATTCTTAGCTTGAATGTAAATTTCAAATACACATTAAAATTGCTTGGAAAAGGATTGTATTAATATTCAAATGTGTTAATTTCTTTTTTTTTAGATATCCCTCCTTTAGAGGACATGTCACATATGTTACAGGAAATAGACAAAATACGACCTGAGAAGAAAATTATGAAAGATTATATACCGGTACATGTAACTACACTACCATTTATATATTTTCTTGATATGATGCATGTAGACTGTTTTCTGTGATATCCACTGAACAAGTTTTTTGATAATGTGTAAAGGGATTGTAAAGAGGTTTTCTAAATTTTGTACGTGTATCGGGACAATGATAGCATCAATTTGCGCCATTCCAATTTTCAATCAGACGTCTGTGTTTCTAGAAATTCTACTTAACTACAAAAGTGTTTTATGAAATCACTAATTTTGCGATTAGTAATATTATCAAACACATTTTGCTGGTGGAAGTGGAGGAATTACAGATGGAATGAAAATTTGACTGGTGCAAATTGATGCTATCGGTGTCCCTGAAAAGCATAAAAAATTTGTAAATCCTCTTTAAAATTCTTTTAAAGAAACCCAGGCTTAATTGAAGATTTCTTTGAGATTTTTGTACATTTTTGGTATTGATTAATTAAAAGGATATTGAAATATTTCTATACAGCTCAGGAATTGATGTAATGAGTAAGCCTACTATTTTAAACAGTGAAATATTTTGTGATTGTATTCAATCTAAAAGATAGTCTAATTGGATAAGAACAAAAACCTTTAGGCTTATATCATTTTATTTACTCTTTTTCAAGGAATCAAAAACCTTAGAAGTAACATCAAATCCAGTCGTAAAAACAGAAAAAGAAAGTGTCGGTAGAGACAAAACTGTTAATACAAAGTCTAATTCATTTGGTGGAATGAAGAAGGGCTTCTTATTTAGTTCTCCTAAAGACAAAGTGACACCTGTTTCTAAAAATAAAGACAGTAAATGTGAAACTATGCCTTATATCAAAAAGACTGAAACAAACGATGAATTAAGGATCAATGAAGTACAAGATGCAATGAAAGCAGGAGGAAACCTTCTCCAGAATAAAGGTAAATTATTCCATTTTAACTGTTTAACACAACTGTAGATATTTCTTTCCAGTGACATTTTTGTTATATGTTTCTTCAATTGCATGCTTTGGCTTCTTGGGCATTGTTTCATAGAATTTGATTTTAAAAAATCAAAACTTGAAAATTTAATAGAACAATTTGATTGGTTATCAAATGGGACTTGAAAAATTTTGTGTTTGACCAATGATGACTGGAGCACTAAAGTCATTAAGAAAGGATTTTGTAAAATTTCTTCCGGGTGACTTGAATGGTAGGTTCAAATCCTGAAAATGCCCTCATATCAAAAAATATTTCTTTGTTCATCATATGAACCAAGATTCCAAGATAATCAGTGAGTTAAGTTAATATGAAAAACACACAAATTGACTTTCAGATTGGGTGAATGATGATTTGTTAAAAGAGATAGAGAAAAATGATGTTTTGTACAGTAAACTTTCAAATCCACAGTTTTCTGCTGCTATAGCAGAATTTCAACATAATCCAGAAGGTGCTATGAAGAAATATGCTGATAATGCTGAAATGCAAAAGTTTTTAAAAGAATTCTGTGGTGTAATGGGTAAGTTATATGAACAAGAATTGACTGTATTTTGAGAAAAGGGAATTATCTCACTGCAATTACCTCTTGCCTTTTTTAGAAATATAAATTTTATCTCAATGTTATTTGTTAAATTATAAGGTCATGAATAGATACTTCTGAAGGTTTCAATGTGATTCTAACTGAACAGTACCCTCCTCAGTATGCATATCAATTGTTAAGAACACATCATTTTTCTAAAGGTATTGTCTACTTTTCAGGTAATCACTTTTCTCAGCTGGCTGAAAAAAATCCATCAAATAAAACTGAAGGGGGGAAAGGGCCTGTGTTGATAACTCAGAATACTGACAGTGAACCTCATATCAAATCAGAAGATGAAAACAGACTTGAAGAAATCTTAAGTTCAGAAAAAGTCAAAGAGGTTCTCATGGATGAAAAAATTCAGAATCTATTTCATACCCTGAAAAACAACCCTAAAGCTGGAGAAAGGTAATTTTATATGTTAACTATGTCATAGGCTCATATGATTTAGGATTGGTTTATAGTACAAAAGTGCAAACATCCCATCATCTGTAAGAAAAAATCATTTGATACTAAAAGTAGAACTGTTAGCAATGATATGCGGTAACCCAACCATTTTTTGTCGAACTAATAGATCAAGCCCTACCTTCGGCTCTATGGTATCAAGAAACTCATCCAGAAAAAGTTTATCTTTATTGCCACCATAATAGAAAGAACCTTAGCCAAAAACAATTATCTCTTCGCATGAAGTCAGAATTAAGCTACAATTGCCAATGATTTTCATCTGTTCTAGTTGCATAGTCTTTAAGTGGTGTTCTGTTTAATTGTAGAGGAACTAGCATCCAATATTAATTGTGAAAAGTGCTATAGGTAGTTAAAATTAAGCTCTATCATGTGGTAAAACTAGTATTGAGAAAACAATGTCCCTTTAACATTTGTATTTGTATCACATGGTAATGATTTTCTTGAAAACTCATTTCAGAATCCTTCATAATGCTGATGGTGATTTCAAGAGAAAGATTAAAGTTCTAATAGATGCTGGATTACTACAAATTGATCAGAGATAGCACATCATCTCCTCTGAATTTTTAATAAAAATATTGATTAAAATAACGTATTTGATTACAGTGGTTTGATTAGTCTGAAATAAATCAGGCTACATATATTATGAAAGAGTCTCAAGCATGGAATAGGCTTTGATTAGACTCTATTGACATTTCAATGCTCCAAAGATTTGCCAACCTGGAACAACTAATGAGAATTGTGTAAAGTTACTTATAGGATAAAATAGGGTTTTTGGATATTTAAAACCTGCATACAAAGGGGATTGGCCCGAGGTATTTTCAAAAGGAAAGAATTTTAAATATTATAAAAATATGAGGGAAAGACTTGTTTTTCTTCGATAAATAAAAATGAAATTAGGGTTGCAATTTATGCTTTATTGGTTAATTTAAATGGCAATCAGAGAGCTTAATTTACTATTTGTTAAAATGTTGAAACTGCAGTTTCAGCCATTTAGTTTGTATTTCTCCATTAACAGGGTAAATCTTTTGCCTCGCGCTTGAGAGCCTTGTGATTCGTAGACAACATTGACAAGTTCCTTCATATTCTCAATCTTTTTTACTGTACAATTTAAAATAGTTTTCTGGCAAAGGGGTGTAACTCATATCTTTTGACTTGGTCAAGTTAACCGACGACCATTGAGCTAGACTTACTATATGGGATATTAATCATAGTAGCCCTCAATTGTTAATAAACTGAATAGTATTTATTGGCGTTCGACGGGAAATGAAACCAGGCCAGAGCAATGATTTGACAAAATTGGTGTCTACGTGCGTAGTATCATGGATTCCCTCATCGAAGTGTATCGTGAAGTTGTCGCATGAATCGCTACTCAAGGTCATTCAGTTTACCACATTCGCAACCGCGTGACATATCTCATCCCGCATTCGAAAGCACTCCTTTCTTCCGGTTACATGCTTATCCATTTTGCCCGGATTAGGCTAACCGCGTATATGGAATCATAGCTTTAAAGGGAGACAATATCTCCGGGATTATGATATAAAAAAAGAAGATGGGATCTCGCCTTCACGGTCAAAATTATGTATAGGATTAAACACGATCGAGTTTTTTCTATGATCTTTTAAACCCAAATCCAAGGGGCTTGTTCCGAGAGGGTGTGTTTTATGGGACTAATAAATCGGCAAGGACTCGTTTGTTTTATGAAAAGAAATTAATAATGAATTAAGGGGCGCAACCCGTGCCTCCCAAATTTAGTCAGTTCGTCAAGAGGCGACCAGTGAACTCGAGTAACATTTTCAATGATATCCCTGCACTAATCACGTACATCAATAGCAAGATGGTTTAAATTTCGTGGTTCAGAGACTGAAAGGAGGCATATTTCGGGCCATCATTCTATGGAAGAGACGAGGTGTTCCGTACTAGGTCAGTAGAAAGCCAAACGACATTAATGCTTCAAAAAATACAATTAACATCTGCATTAATTGATATCTGACCCATAACGATATCAAGTCTAGATTTGTCGTGCCAACAATCGGTGTTATTTGAACAAAATCAGCATTTTTGAAAACAAATATCTTATAAAAGTGATAGAAGTATGCGTCTATATGTTCTTGAAAAAATAAATGATTTTAATCACATTTAAAGATTTAAGTATTCCTATTCAGTCATCCTTTAAATTCAAATTGTATCAATATTTTAACATTCTGAATAGAATCCACTTAGATGTTTGGTTGCCTCACATGGTTTTAAAAGAATGACAACCTGGGGCATCACAAAATCCGTTGACTTCCCCGAATATGTAACATGGATACTCATACTGCTATTGTATAGGATTATTAGTGATAGCACTGGGACACCATACTCAACCAATGAGTGAAAGGAGATTTGACCGACATATTTTTATAGAAAAATGTCACTTCATCAGTATTTCTACTACAAAACCAAGGACATTACTTTGAGCTGGGGATAATTTAGGTCAAACATTTTCTGTTTAGTTTGAAATTTACTGGGTAAGTTTTTAGTGTATGGTTTAATTGATAACGAATGTGTGTGCTTCAAATATGGGATCTTTAAAAATCGATTTTGCTGTTGGCTATAATGTAAGTAATGAGCCCCTCGAATGAATGAAGGAATGAATAAACAATAGACCAGTATCGATTTGATTCAATATCATACTGATCGTTCTGTGTTCTTCAATATTCTGTTCTTTTATAATTTTGTTCTAATAACTAATAGTAGCCTAATACCCCTTGTCATTGAAATGTAGCAATGTTGGCCTCACTTCCTTTGTGAATCTAAGAACATTAAGGTTATAGCCTAGATTTAATTATATTGGGTCGACAGAAATTATATCTGGGCCATAGAAATCGAAAACCAATAAAATAAAACGAATATTCATTAATTATATTAGTTTATAGTCTACTAATTACATGGTTATTCATACGGTTTGATAGTCTATTATGAATGAATGACGTCATATTACTCTGCATAATATCCAGACACCATTGGGCATTCTGTGTTATCACGTACACCTGCTTAAAAAAAGAATTCGGTAAACCCTTTCATATCACGAACGTTGCCGATTTTTTTTTATCAGCAAAGGATTTGCTACGAGTGTTTCAATATACAAATGTTGTAGTTGAGATATAGGATATATACCTGAAGGATAAAGTGTAACCTAATAGTATAATATCATAAGTCAATCGTCGTTAAGGTAAATATATCCATATAGGCTAAGCTTCATTAAATAACAATCGTATATAGTTAATAAACAATTCAACTATTAAAACTTAATATTTTGGTTTAAAATAATTTTACTTAAAGGTTTAAAAGCCTCGTTGTTTAAAGCCGTTACCAGCTGATAGATTTCGATATCTGTCTCGATCTATCCAAATTACATCTAGGCTATAAAGTATAAAAATCTTATGTTCAGTCTGCCAATGATTAGACAAGAATCACTTTATAGGCGCCCATGTGGACGAATTTTTGATGAAAGGTTAGTTTTTGACGAAGCCAAATAGGCCTACTCTTGACTAAAGCCAGTCAAAAAATATGAATGCGAATGAGACTTCACTGTTAAAATTCTTAACAAACTTTAAACCTAAATAGATGGAAACTAAGTAGCCACTAAATAAATTGTTGATTCACATCAGCCCATGAATGAGCTGTTTCACTCTTTCATGTGTTGCATTATACCTAATATAGTGTATTATATACACCGTGGTGGGTGTAACTTTAAACGCTGTAACAACAGCTCGTATACACTCTTTGAGATATCCCTGAACACTCTTATTAGTGTAGTATTATATTTTTGGTCGGCCCACTCTCCTGGTGTTAGTAATATATGGACCGATGCTTTACACTGTAGAAGTGTAAATATGCAATAGAAATAGCATTGATAGGGTAATTTTTTTTTTTCAGTAAATGAAACGAAATTAATTACAGAGGATATCCATTTCATGTAACATCAGTATTACGATTTTGTCTTTGTAATGTCTAATTTCTGCAGTATATTACTTCTATATATTTATAAAATACTCACAGTAGGCTACAAATTTGATCTGATATTTTGAAACTTGGTATATTTGTGTACATTGATATTGAGTTTTATTTACAGGCTTATTGCGTAGACGGTTTTTTGGTATTTGCCTATGCGGTTTTGATTCGAACATAACAATACCTGGGCTTATGCGCTTATAGAATTGATCAGTTCTATTAGCCTTCACTAAAAATATATCAACATTAGCATGTGAATGCAATAGAGGTATTTTGATGTTTTGTTGGATATTAAGTATTTTTTTATTACTATATTATCCAATGTATATTGGTAAGTTATAGTGGATTAGAGATTAAATAATAAATAAATCTATTTGTAATGATACCTTTTTGTATTGCAGGCCACAAAGATGGTTCTTTCATCATTTAATTTCGTTGCCTCAATACTGTTTACACTAGAATGTTATCATATAATAGGACATCTAGCCATATTGTTACGTATTCGCATGCTACCAAGACGAGATTTAGTTAGAATAAGATTATATTTTCTGGTTGATGCCTTAACAGTATTTATAACTAACTTTATCTACATTGGGAAACTGAAATGGTTAGCAACTTTACAAATAATACAACACCTATTCTATTTCTTCACATGGGATCAATCTTATTTGGCCAAAAAGGTAAATCCATGGTAATATTATAACTATAAATGGAAGATGGGGCCTTTTCTTAGAAATAGTTAACTTAATGAGCCTATTCCATTTCGGAATTCATAGGGCGAGTCGATATCTTAAGCACATGCATTATATAAAATACACCGAGGTATTAATTTTATAGCTGGTCTAGAACACGTCCAGAAAATGATCGGTTACAGTCATCACTATGTTGACATGTTAGGCTTCCAAAAACTTTAAAAAAAAAACTTTTTCATGCCTATTACCTCCTATAGTGAGAAACTGCAATCATTAACAAATGTTTTTAAGAAAATGTAATATGATTAATTCGTCTTTTTATTCACAGATTATAGATTGGAGTTCTCTAGACTGGTTTAGTAGTTATAAGAATGGTCGAGTGGAGCTAGATTCTATTCTTGGAACAGCGTTTGATGTTGGTGTACATGCTATCAATGCATACATTCTATCACAATATATGTCTATGTTGGAAATCTTCATAGGTGTTTCAATATCGTACATGTCCATAGGTTACTTCTTATTCAGTTCCAAGTATGCATGGAGTAGTCCCTATTCAATGCCGAAATGGGTTCAACAAAGGATCCGGCCAATTGTGCCACTGTAGGTAGACATAGGATGTACTTATGGGATTCAAAGGATGTTTTCTGCTTATTGTATATATTATATCCGGGACATTTGTAGGTTTGATTTAAAAAAAACGTCTAAGGTTCCAGAGATATTTGATCAAATTATTTAAATGGCAGATTCTATTCAAGTTAACAAAGTCCTCACTCCTCAGATGCTGCACGGAAAATCGATGAAGCTTTTTTCGTCCCCGGTAAACACCCCTACAGTAGAGAACCTCTTTTGAATCTCTGAAATAAAACTTTGGCAAGGGAAGCTATTAGTATGAAGACAACTTTTACATTACTAGTACGCGATTAATATTTCCAGCTTTAATTTGCGCCATTCCAAACCTATCCAATCAAAATCTTACATTTGGATACACGCTTAACCTGCACACAAGATTGTTGAAAGCACAGAGGAAGTGCGGAAAGTTTTGTTATATTGTATGACAACCGGATATCGGAATATGATTCTGAAAAGTTACAGGGATAGACGACAGCCCCCCTTTAATTTGTGTAATTCTAGTTATAATACATTGATGCTGACCAGTCATGTTAGGTGAGATGTACTTGATTGTCCTTCGCCACATAAAACATGTACCAAAGGTTCAAAAATATTTTAACTATAGCTCAAACGGGACGTCCCTGAAACAAACCGCTGATTAAAAAAATATATAACCTTGTACTGATTTGTTGTATATATACATTTAAGGAGATTATGTGCAAGTACAATGGGGGGATACAATTTCCAGACATACCGTTACATTGTCTAAAAATTCGGAGAATATAGCCTGACTGAATAGAATGACTTAAATTGTAATTGTCCAAAAATTTTATGCTAGACTACAAAGCACCTCATTACTCTCTTTGGGGTAATTACCCCCAGGCTGAAAACCCCTGCTTGAAATGCTTCTTTCCTTTAGTTATAGTGTTAGAATATTTATATTTTACTAGTCACGTAGCCTTTATCTTACCAAGCATAAACTTTGTTGTGTTAATCACCGATCTATTAATGTTGCACTGACTTCTGTTATAACACTATGCAGATCGTTATCAATTGAGTTATTTAGATAGTTCAATATGTCAGGGTTGGTGTCAGGGTCGGTTTATATATATATTATTATTGATAAAGTTAAAGAGAAACTTGTGTTTGTTATACGCCCACACGTAAGATGGGCGTATATTGTAATCACCCCGTCCGTCCGTCGGTCCGTCCGTCCGCTCACATTTGGCTCGTGCTCACTCTACAGGCTACAGTTCTTTATGGATTCTTTTGATTTTTATTTTGTATGTCAATATCATTATGAAGATGATCCCTATTGATTTTCGTGATGATCGGATAATTTTTCATCGAAATATCGTGTCTGACTTGACGTTTTACTCTATTAGCTATATTGTGCAACTCGTGCTCACTCTACAGGCTACAATTTTTTACAGATTCTTTTGATTTTTATTTTGTGTGTCAATGTCATCTGATTTTCGTGATGATCGGATAATTTTTCACCGAAATATCGTGTCTGACTTGACGTTTTACTCTATTAGCTATATTGTGCAACTCGTGCTCACTCTACAAGCTACAATTCTTTACAGATTCTTTTGATTTTTATTTTGTATGTCTATGTCGTTATGAAGATGATCCCTATTGATTTTCATGATGATCTATCGATTTTCATGATGATCGGATAATTTTTCACCGAAATATCGTGTCTGACTTGACGTTTCACTCTATTAGCTTTATTGTGCAACCCTGTGCTCAATCCACAGGCGACAATTTTTTACAGATTCTTTTGATTTTTATTTTGTGTGTCAATGTCATTATGAAGATGGTTTATATTTGTATTTGGGTTATTGATATTGATTTTAAAAATTTGTGGAATTATTCAGCATGAATAATTTCTTCAATATGAGAAAATTCGTACTTTAGTCACTAAAGACTGTTTTATTATTTCTGACAGCTGCTAGTGGGCGTATGTTATCTTGCAACGCAAGCTATCTTTTGTATTTTTTTTAAAGCGATTGAACGAATGTCTAGTGATATGATTCCTTGTTATAAACCTATTAGGAATAGACCATTTTGAGGGAATTGTAATGTAATAACATACATCCTTCTTGTAACCTCTAACTTAAAATTTACAGTGGTAAAATATTTTTTCGAAGGGAAATTATTTTAGCAATATATTATTCTGCCTTTGTAGTTTTAAATGAGGCTTCTTGTGATAATTTGATTAAGAATTAATCCTGAATTTTTATGAAGTTGACTAACTTTAAGCTACATAATACTTTACACGTATATATTATATAATTGATAAATTACTTTTAACTTATATATTGAGCAATAATGACCTTGGGGTATTGCAACTACTTCCTAAATTATCTATAACAACCCCGTGTCTGCGTCATATTTATATCATATATCAATTCGGGCTAACTTTTAATTTTTAAATATGCTGATACAGTTTTATCATGTAAATATTTCACTAACTTTGTTATTGCTGTGAATTTTTTTCTTAATTCTCAAAATTAATGCACTTTACATTATAATTACCGGTGCCGTGCTTTTACATTTTTATGTACATTTTCCTAATTTATATTGAGTTTATTGCTTGTTTGTAAAATTTATACTATTATGTAGTCCAGGTTGACTCTGTTCTAGCTCTGGTATAGATATTTCGTTTCAAATTTGGGCATTGAAACCAAATTTCAAGATCTTTAGGCATTCAGATATTTCATTTTCTATGCAACAAACATATAATGTGCCATCGAAGCAATATACAATATATAGATGTTGTTCTCTGGCAGAGATTAGAACAGAGTCGGCATGTTTCAGACTCACTGTTTTGTGCAACATAAAATGCAAACTAATGACCAAAGTTTACTTGTATTGATGCTGAATAAAGTATTCTAGAATTGCTGTATAGTCAAATTTACAACGGCTGAAATCACTGGCCTATCCCCACTTCATTTCCAATAAATTTAAGATATGATTTTTATACGTTTTTGCCCTAAATATGATGCCCCCGGCTGACAGTAACGCAGATGAGGAAATCTAATCTCATGTTGTATGCATGAAAGTTAGAATTAGCTTTCCAATCACAAGCAATGTCCGAGGTAATAATTCAGGCACCACTATCAATATGTCTGGTGCATGCGACATAATGATATATTTTAGTCTAATCTGACCCTCCAAAAATACCAGACTAGATACAGAAAAGCAGAACAGAATGTCGCATTCGTTGCAAAAACCTCAATCTATTCGGCCAAATATCAGTGACTTCCCCGTGAGTCTCTTTTATTGTATGCATCATTCCATTAATATTCAAATCCTCAAGGAAATTTTCAATAATTAGGTCTAGTCTGAACAGCATGCATTCACACCTCATCCAATTCCTTCATTAACAAATACTGTCGAATTCTATCCGGTACTGGTAAAGTAAGAAGATTATGATAAAACATATTTCCTAAATAATGTCGTATCCACAGTCGACACATTGAACGTAATGACATCACATCGTGACTGTGGTACTGCCATCGTGATAACTCTGCATACCCTTCCATATCACGATATTGTGATAAATACAATTTAACATGTGAATTATCGTAACCACTGATTATAAATAGCTTAATAATATCACACAAACACTTGTCAAAAGCAAGTTTAACTGGGCAGGTTTCGGGAGGTTGCTGTTTAGGACACTGAAAAAGATCCACTGTACTATTGGCTTTTAATAGTAATTTGACCACTTTTATCCGGTTATTGTTAGTCGCATACCATAATGGTGTTCTTCTATCAGAATCTAATAAATTAATATCAGCACCTCCTAATACCAAATCTTCAATACATCTCGAATGACCCTTCAATGACAGGATATGCAAGGGCGTTCGTTTCGAAGTCTTATTAGCTATATTCACATCGGCATTAGCTTGAATCAACAAAGCAACAACTTTATCAAACCCTTCTGTTGCTGCCAGCAGTAATGGCGTATTATTATCATTATCACATATATTGGGGTCAGCTCCATATCTCAATAACATATCTACACCCATTGCCATTTGACTAGCATAATGTAAGGCTGCCTTCCCTAGACAATCTGTAGAGTCTATCACACATTTACTATCTAGTAATAATTTTACAGCAAAATAGCCTTTATTTTGAACTGCGAGTATCAAGGGTGTAGATTGAGAAGAGTCTCTAGAATTAACATTGGCTCCGAATTCTATAAGATAATCTAAACAATCATCTGAACCTCTTTTGGCAGCAATATGTAGCGCTGTACATCTGCTACTTCCCCTAGCATCAATTTTACACCCCGCTTCTAATAATACTTTTGTCGTTTTCGGATCATTTGAACTGACAGATAAAATTATTAAAGAATTTCCATTTCTATCACAGACCCTTTTATCAGCTCCTGCTTTGAGTAATTTCCCCACACATTCAGTTGATTTTTGTTTAACCGCCAAAATCAAAGCATCGTCCAATTCATTCTCTGACAAATTAGAACTTGATAGACAAATATCAAATATTCGCTGGTTCTGCTTCGTGATGGCATCAGTTAAACTGAAATATATGAAGTTCTTGGATATTACCCAAAGCGCGACTTAGTGGTCTAAGGGAGGTAATTTATAACTGTTGTAGTTTGTAGCCACATTTTGTTTGTTTCTGTGACTACAGACCAAGGTTATAACTTATTATCTCCCTTTGACTACAATTCAATACCGAGAAAACTTTTTTCCAAGGTCATCAAATTACAAAGGTTCGTCCATAAAGTTAACGTTCCAGCATTAAACTATAACATGCATAAACCTAAATATTGTCGAGTTTTTGGCATTTGAGAAATTTGGGAAACAACAGACAATTTCGACACATAAAAGTTATCCTTTGTCAAACGATAACTTATGACCTCAGTTAAGACAGTTTAGTAGCCAGTCTTAAGTTGAGTCCTACTCAATCATCGATGTGTTGAAAAGTCCAAGTCGAAGACCAACTTATGACATTTGGAGTCTGGAGACTTATTTAATTCTCTAAAAACTTACCTAGTCATTTCAGCTGATTGTTTCTCTATCAATGGGGTAAATTTTGAATAATTGCCAGGAACGTTATCGTTCTAGTTCTAAGGTAGTTCCAAGGGAAGTAATTTACATTCTGTAAGTAACAGCACTGTGGAGCTTTTTATTGCGGATTAACAGATCTCACGAATGATAGGTGTAACGGTGACGTGCAAGAAGGTATAAATGACCACTCTGGAAATTATTAGGCTATTTAGGAAATGGGTTTTAATGGTAATTTTGCCTTGGAATATTTAGTCCATCTCAATGCTCAATGTTGGAAAATAGAAGCAGAGAGAATACCTAGGCCTACTGGTTGGTTTCTGTAGTCCCTTAATTTCATTTATGTCTGAGAAGAAGGACAAAAGACAATTGATGGCTGTTCATTTGGAAAGTCTTACATGAGTACTTTTTAATTCACAAAAATATTAAATTTGGTAATTTTTCTGGGACTGGAAAGCATCTAGTGGCTAACATTTGTATTGACAAGAAGCTACTTTGTGACCACAATGCGCTCTAGATGAAATTTTCTGTCAAATTCTATTATCATTTTACATCGGGAAAAAATCAAAATTTGTGTGTATGCAAAGAAAATAAGTTTATATGGCTGTTTTTGTGTTTGATTATATGGGTTGCAATGTTTTTCACTCCCCTGAAAAATTTTGTTGCCCCTGGTCAGTCCTTTCATCTGATGTTTCCTATAAACGCCACTTTGGGTCAGCCTCAATTCTAGGTGGTGGAATAGCAAAGATCACAAGCCATGCCACCTGAAAAACTTTACTACAAACTGACAGTAGGCTCAATAGTCATTAATCAATTTGTTTATTATTTAGTGTATTAGGAATGTTATTAAACTTTCTCACAATCTACTAATCTACAGGATTACATTTATTTAATCTAATCACTGTTACTTCTAATCAAGCTGTATTTCATTATCACTATTTCTCTCTACATTTTCTCTACTGGTCTATGTTACTAGGATTACTTTATTTATTAATGTACATAGATAAATGCATTGTCAACACAGAACACACAGTTGGTCTGCTAGCATACTATCTAAATCACAACTTAACACTTTCTTTGTGAATCTCTGATAATCCTACCACCATATGGTCTTCACTAAATATCTTTATAACTAATCATTTTATTGCCATTGTATTGACACTGCATAAAACAAATACTTCTTAAATGAAATGAAAGAGCAGTCTTATTCACAAGTTTTAAAGGCTTTTAACAGAATATGTTTAGAATAAGGGGGAACTGTCTGTAAATATTACCAAAAATATTTTTTGTCCAGTAAGTCCAGTTAGCTTAATGATCAATAGGTCCAGGGCTTAAAGACACACTAAGATTCGGTTTTTTTTTCGTCACCATAAGTGTAAAACATGACCAATAATAATAGTTATCTCATCTTATCTTATCTTATCAAAGTTATCATTGGTAACTTTGTCATAATTTGGCTATATTATGAAGTGGGCTTTTATTTTCATCTGTTCCAGATCTTAGTTCTTCAGAGCATAGATATTGCAAAATCACTCTGAAATATATTGATTGTGTTATGTACACTAAAGTACAAGTAAATAATGTTCCTTTTGGAAAAAGAAGAGTGTTTCACAAATTTATCAGATTTATTTTCAAAAATTTATTTTTTTATTGATCTCCTTTTTCAACCAAATAAAATGTATTTCCAAAGTTTTTTCTAAATTGAACTTTCTAGACTGTTCTCTGAATGGATTAAATTGGATTATTTACAGTCAATGTAAAGAGTCCAAAATTGATTGTGTTCAAAGTGGGAAAATTCACAACAGTAGTTCAAATACTAGAATCATAATTGGCATATTAAATATTTATAAATTATATTTTGTGATTATGCATTTGATGCTATATTCCATTTTTGATAGAATTACCATTGACTTTTAACTCGATACCTCATAAATATATTTTTTTATTTAGAAACTGGTACCAGAATAAAATGGGTGACAAATATAGTAATAACTTTTACGACATCAGATTTAAGATGGTAAAGTTAAAGTAAGTATCATTTATTATTTTTATCTGAAATAGAGATGTCCTAGGTTAAAATGATATAGGAAAATATACAGAAATACAGAAACTGTATTTCAAAGCCTTTGACATCAATGGTGTCACAAAGCCACAGAATTTTCAAGGATGGGCTCAAAGCACCAGGGAATTAAAGAAGTCACAATGAAAATTTTTAATAAATAGGGTAATGGGGAAAGCCAAACTAGCTGTATGCCCACCTCCCCCACTTGGAAACTTTGCAGGACGGAAAATTTAATGTTTCAAAAACATTTTCACATAAAGTCAAGACAAGTTATAGCTATTTTGAAATATTATCAATGCCATTGGGAACAAACAAGAAAAAAGCTCACAGGATTATTGTTGCCAGGCGATTAGATACCCTGGATTCAAATCCTCAAGAAAAATGCCATGGCCAGTGCTTCATAGAGCTGACCACTGCAACTACACAATGTCAATACTAAAATGACAGACGATTTCCAAAGATTTTATTAGGCATTTACACTCTAAAGTTTGCATCTTCTCTAATACTTCCATTTTTAATTTTGTAATTATCTTTCTTATGTTTATAAAAAATATGAATAAATACAAAATCCCAACTAAAAATTTATCAGTAATAGAAGTAACTTTCACAACCAATTAGTTATTAGCAAGAGTTGAGAGCTGTAACATATGTTAGAGTCAAATTTCTATTGTAAATATTAGACAACAGCTCAAAATCATGACTTTTGTGTAAATTTCACTGATTCTCACAGAATTTTCTCTTTTTTATTTTCATATTTTACTGAAAAATCTACAGACAAAAAAAAGCAATGAAATGAATGGAGTTTTACGTCCTACTTTTTTGCACCTAAGTGAGCTCAAGGAAGACTTACATCGTCATGAAGTGTGCAAATAGGGAAATTTTGCCAGGACAGAAGCATCAGCCTGCTCTTTTTCGATTTTCTGTCAAGGGATCTATAAGGTGCACAGACTGTAGCTCACTGGATCTTGGTTCTTGTCCCATCTGACCTGCCCCTCTGACCTGCATCACTGACAGGGGGAAACTGGGTTGAAAAATCCGAATATAATACTCTGCTGCTTTTTGCTGGGATTGAACCCATAGTTAGTACATTGTCACAGGGAAAAGGTTTTGAACATATGATGAACATTAGAAAACACACTGCACTCCAGATGAATATTGGCCAAATCTTGACACTGACCTTCATGGCCTTGATTTCTGTTATTTACCAAAGTTTACTATTACATTTGAATAGTGAAATTTTGTCTAATTTGAGACATAAAAAAACACACAAAATGGGCAATTTCCATTCATTTTACTACAGTGAAAACTGCATTCATGTAACATACCAGGATGTTTAAATTTTTGCTCATCATCTTGTTTGAAATTGAAAGAAAAAATGGCTTATTGTTGATTTCTACACACTTGTAGAATTTTGAATAGATATATGTTTTTTTGATGTTGTTTATGAATCAGAATGTATCATATAACTGATTTTTATCACTTTTTGTAAGTTGTCACTAATTGTACCAAGGTGGTTTATTTTTAAAATAAAATCGCTATGTGTGGTTCTACTGTAGTCACTTACTAGAAGAGTGAATAACGGCATCTTACAAAAGCTTTTATTATTTATGGGATGCACATATGAGTTTAGATACATAACACTGAATTAATTTCTTTTTTGCCTCCATTTTAAATTTTTAAAAGATGCATATCAAAAGTAAAATTGGCTCATTCATGCATCTTTCAATTATGAGGTTAATCTCTGAATCTAAACTGAATTTAATAAACTCTTCGCCCTGATTACAAAATTTATAAAAACGCAAGGGGAACAACCTTGAATGAAAATAAGCCACAATTTATTTGATATCCCCTTCAGAATCTAAACCTATTGTTCAATGTTTAATACCAAAGTGAAGTAGATTAACTGCTCAGTGAAAGGTTCAAAGTGAAAATTAAATCTTTAGGTATTTTTTGATGTTTTTATGAAACAGTTTAAGGTGATAATGCAATGGTAACAGTGGTATTGATCTTTTGTTTGCATATTTAATGTAATATTAAAAGAGATTAACTGACTGTTTTAATCCACTTATTGTTCTATAGAAATCTCAAGATGCTATTCTATTCAATTATATTTCATTTAAAGAAGTTTATTAAACCAAAGCAATTTGAATTTTTGTTTGTTTGGGGTTAAATCACCTTTAATAAGTTGAAATCATAGCTGGGAGTATTGATTAGTGTGGTACAATCTACAAAGATAAAAAAAGTGTGGTACAATAAACAGGTCCATTGTGAAAAAAATGAGTCAAAATTTCTAGTTTTAAACTTTCTCTTAGAATGGACATTGAAACTTAGTCAACAAAATATATATTCTTCAGTTAGACTTAACTGGTGCCATGACTAAAGAATAGAATCTCGATAAGACAATATATCCATTAAACTAAATAGTTATTGAAAAATGCTTCTAAGTATGTTTGAAAATTACTTGGTTTACTGGATTATCATTTAGTTTTATAGATTTATTGTATTATAGAGGTATTCTGTGTTATAGTTTTGACACCAAGTAATTCCACAGATGAACAAAGATTCATTTTGGCCAGTTTGAAAGATTAAATTTTTTGGTCATCATTAGTATTATATAGCATAAGATATGGCACTAGTAAAGGTGGTAAGGTATAGATACACAATCCTTACTGAGTATAATAACTGATTTTCTTTGCTTGATAGACTAAAATATCTGAGTCAAAACATCGCTCAAATACAATCAGTAATTGTATTCTATAAGATTTTTGTTATCTTTCTGAAAAATTAATTTGTGTTAAAAGAAGTTCACATAAAATGAATGGAATTTTACTTTTCTGCACCTTATGGGCTAGTGAAGACAGTATTTGTTAAAAGTTAATATATGTCTTACTTTGAAGGGATTGAAAAGAGGTTTTTAAAATGTTTTATATG